TTTCCGTATCCTTCTGTTTTGGAGCCACCCCGACTTCGTCAGCCTTGGCTGGATTTTTTGTCACTGGCTTGAAGAACGTCTCTTGTGTCTATTAGGGACTTTGCGATGTCCCTGAGGTCAGCAAGACGTATTCTTCCTGTTCACCATCTCTTTGGGACGGTTTAGGTCCAATTGGAACACCCAGCAGCTGCGGTGTTGGAGCATCGAGACCACACAACCATATCGTCATGACTTTGGCTCCTCCTCCTGGATACATACCTCTTGAGTATAGATGTTCCTTGGTGACTAAAGAGCACCCTTTTTTTGAGGAGTGGGGGAGAGCTTAGAAAAGGTGCCAGGAAAGGAAACATTTAGGATGTAACATGGCCTGCTAATTTGAGACCGCAGTGGAGACTACAAAGTAGTTTTTTAAGCCTTCATTGCTACACAATGTAATAAACATAATTAAAAGTCCTGAAAATGAAACTGAAATATTTTGGCCACCAAATGAGAATAAAGGACTCACTGGAGAAGAGCCTAATGCTGAGAAAGATTGAGGGCAAAAGAAGAGTATATATACAACAGACCAAAACAAAATAAAATGGAGCAAAGAAACAAAAACAAGGCCTGGAAGACAACAAATCTTCACTAATTTCCTGACTGAAATAATGGTAGAAACCACAAAAATCTGGGTGGGGGAGCGTGGAGAGGATCATTCCTGAAGCCAGGAATTGCAACAGACAGATTTTCAGCCGTCTGCTAACCTATTTCCTCACTTGTGGTTTTCCAGAATATCAAGCAGTTGTAGAGAAATGAAAAGTTTCTAAATATACTTTAATTAAATATTGTTTCCAGCTTTCCACCAAGAGGACTTTTTTCTGACTTGGGGTTAAATTTATAAACAGCATCATGCAGAGAAAAATTGTTTGTTTTGCATTTGCAGTTTCCTTTATCAAGAGAAAATGGTTAAAGGATTCATTTTGCTAGCCAGCTCAGAGTTCCTTATGATAATAATTAATTCAACAGTCAAGCTGAAACAAGTGCAAGACACATTAACATAGGAATACAGCTTTCTATAAAGGTTCTGAGAAATTTTAACCTAGGTTTTGTGTTAATTTTTAAGGAAACTGTACAAGAGGGAAAGAATGTATTACTTAAGAGAAATATGAAATATTTGTACAAAATATGTTTTTACTAGTATAATATTTTGGTTCCTTTTTTAAAAGGTAAGGTTGATATTGTAGTAATCAGAAATTGTGACTCATGTAAAGTAGGCATGAAAATATCTACTTTCATACGAAGCACAAAAAGGCATCATGATTACATTTTTCCCCTCTATATTGTAGATTTGAACATCTATCCTTTGACTATAATGGTGATGCAATCTTTAAAAAGTAATAAGATTTATTCTCCCGCAGTGCACATAGAATGACCGTTCAGGTAAGGCAATGGTCTATTTCGTAGAGTCTGCCTACCTAAACAAAATCATCTTCCTATTCATTTGTCAATTTTGACAAAATCATCACTGTGACTTTGTATGTTTGATAGTATATCTTTGGAAGATTAAATATTTATTTGCATTACTCTCCTAATAGAGCTATTTATCTGATTATTCTTTGCAGATTTGTACTACACTGTCACTACCCCACTACCTGCTACTTGAGGAGCAATTTTTGTACATTTCTTCAAATTTGTACAATTTGGGCAGTGTTCTCTGTATTCCTATTAATTTCTCCGTTCATAATAATGGTTGCAATCAATACCCATCACAATGATTTAATTCCTTTGGAGTTTAGCTAACTCTTAGTGCAGATTTATCCAAGTGATCCTAGAATTGTTAAGTATTCATTAAATATTCATGATGCCAGCAACACCCTCTGGCTCTTCTGATTGGCTGAAAGCCTCAGAGGGTGTTGCCGGCC